ACAATCAGTTGCTTACCCTCTGTACATAACCTGGGTGTGTGCCCTGACCGGGAATTGAACCTACAACCTTTTGGTATATGGGACAATGCCGCAAACAACTGAGCCACCTGGCCAGAGCTACTCTTTTTTGACACATTGAGATTCATTTCCACCAGGTTCCTCATGTGAGACATCGGCGTGTCGGTTTGCCTTGGCTGCTAAGGGACTATACAGGCTTATGTGCTGCTTGCATGAGGGCTTTGGCTATTTTTAGGCACCAGCTAATCCATTAACTGCATAATGCTGCCACTGATGACTCACAGAATACAGCAGTCAAATTAAAAAATAGTGGAATGAAAGAAAAGCCACCGGTAAACGTGCAGTAAGCACATCATTATAACATGCTGTACGAGTGAATGCACAGACACACACGCGCGCGCGCACCCAGACAGCTGGGAGAAGAAAATGGCACTGAATATTAAGCAGTCACCAAGGCGGTAAAGGGAAGCAGTCACCCCAGGAGGATCTAGGAAGCGACAGACAGTCCTGCGAACATAAGGAGCTCGGCAGTTAGGAAAGAAGCAGTCCAAGAAAAGTGTCACCCCAGAGCACTTTGCGAATAAAATTTACTACAATTCTTCTGAGCCAATTTTGTGTCCTCTTCAGAAAAGCTGTGCCTGGGGACCATGAGACAGAGGGGCGGGGAGCCTGCTCACAGACAGGGGGCTGAAGGGTGGGGCCGTCCTGGGCGCCCCCGCTGGGCACACTGCAGGGGGTGCCCAGGAGGCCCTGCCTCTGCCCAGACCTTCTTACTGACGTGGAGGGCTGGGCCACCAGCGCGGCCCTCCAGTCCAGCACGTGCTCAGAAAATCACAGCATGTGTCTACCACACATGTAAGTATCCCAGGGGGGCTCCTGGGCCCTTCATGGGCACATGCCACAGGAAAGGAGGCGGGGTAAAAACAGCTCACTGGAAAAGTTCGGCCTTCTCTCTGGGCTATCCTAAACTGGCTCTCTTTCCATAAACTCTTTTCAGAGCATGGAGCCTTTTATTTATTTTTCAGAAGCTAACTGTTTCCCTTCTCAGGGCCAAAGTCACCTAAGCGAAGCAGGGAAGGGAAACGAACTCTGTCGAGGGCCTACTACGTGCTACATATTTTGCTGGCTCCTTTGAATGTGTTTTCTTTAATTCTTACAATAACCCCCATTATTCCCACTATGCAACCAAGAATGGGAGGCTTAGATATTATCATTTGCATGATAAATTTTTAGTGCAATAATTTGTAAATGATTGGTACAGGGCCCCAGTGCTACAGAGCGGCGGAGGACAGATTCACACTGAGGGCTTTTTGGCTCCAGCTCCCTCATTTTCCTACCAGCTCACCTGCTTCCCACCCCAGCGGGTGGTGCTACACACTCAGTTCCTGAGTCATACTGGTTCCCAGGTTCATGCTATTGCCAGGGATCCCTCCTGGGACTCGCCAAAGACATCTTCTGAACTCCAACTTGGAGAATATTAAGTGGATTATATTTGGGAGTGAGGCCCCAGAGGAAGTGATCCTACGGGCCCTTGGGGATCTCGACCAGAATCCCCAAGGCTGAGGGAAGATATGATAGAGGCAGTGACTCTCCCTGCTGGGGTGGAACATGTCACCTGTCCTTCACCAGAAGATGAAGAAGATCGCAGCGGGGCCCAGAGAAGCTTTGTGTGGAGCATACAGTCATAAAGGACGACTCCTGGAATCCCTCTGTATTTCCCCAGCTCCTGGGGCGGGGGAGCTCAGATGCACAGAAATGCCGCTTTGGGTATGACAAAGCCCCAGGGATGGTGACGAACATGTGAAAGTATGTTTCTCCTACACTGCCTCACCCGGAGCATCAGCTGGAAGTTCCATGGGAGGCATCTTTCTACAATAATAATCAGAAATTCAGTTCCTTAAGAATAATCACATATACAAGAAAACACTCCTCCGTTTTATGGAGACTGGCTTTTTAGTTCCCACTAGATTTATGTGTGGATCATTAGCACAGGGTCATGTCCTCTGCCCCCCCCCCCCGGCCCTGCCACTTTGGCAGCTGATGCTGGTGAATTTCACAAGTGGTGCTCTGCAAGGCAGGAAGGAAAAGTAAAGGATGACAACCAAGGAGGTCCATGGTGTTACCCGGTATAAGGAGTCATTTGCCTGTTTTGAGATGAGAAAAATGGCAGCTCTGAGAGGAAAATCAACTCATCTTGCAGCCAACCAGCGCCCAGGCTCATGGCTTTCTGCACACCGCACAGCCTTCGCTGGGATGCCTGCCGTGGGTTGTATAAGGCCAAGCTTCCCGGTGGCTCTCCAGCCATGCAGGATTTATGCCCAGGGTCATAAAGCCATCTATTGTGGAAGAGCCAGCCCTGCTCCCACAGCTTCCCCAATCAAATTTGTGATTCTGCTAATTAAGTTAAACAATTTGCACATTTCTAATCTCCCTGTGGGTGTGAGTGTTAGCGATTTCTAGCCAGTTGGGAAGACGGGAACTGATTCTTCAGGCCAAGGAGAAAGCTCTCACAGTGACACCGATCACAGACAGAGCCATTCAGTCCCCAGAACGTAAATTGCATCCAGACGTTAGTTCTCTCTGCCTTCTCTCTCTGATTCTCCACTGACTCCACTCCTGTCGCTGGTGGCAAACACAGCTGGTGGAGTATTTTCGCTGTGATGATGTCAGCCTGTTTCTGATAGGCTTCTCGGTAAAGTGACAAATCATGGGCTGTGTTGGGGGCTCGCACTCTGTTTCTACGACAGCCCTCTCGCTCTTCTTTGCGGGAGCCCTTCCCAGCATGCAGCTCAACCACACAGGGCCGCCCTGACAGACCTGCGAACAGGCTGTGACAAATGTTCTACCTTCTAATTTGCACCTTGGCTGTCAGCAAAGAGACTAGTGGTCTGGCTACGGGAAGGAAATGAGACTTGGCCTGGAAGCCAATTTCTCTATCATTTAAGCATTCATTCTGCAAAGTATCAAGCCGGAAAAGCACAGAGGGATGTTTGCTTTTTTCTCTACGACCTGCCAGGTCCATTTGAAACCTGAAGAGGCCTATGAGCGCCGGTCCGAGAGGCTGCCAGGGCTGTGAGATGCAGCCCACAGCCAGAGCTGCTCTCTAGTCCCAAGTTGAAAGAGATGCTGGTCAGGAACCAGTAACGTTTCAAAAATCACACCTCTTTCCATTCCGGCCTCTGTGTGCACTAAAGCTTTAAGGGTGGAAAACAAGTACCGTGAAAAACACATTTACTTTCCATCCTTGTTTATTTTCCATGCTTCCCCTGGGGTCTGTTAAAAGACAACTTTGCTGAAGAGAACTCATTTGGTTTTCCTACTAGGACCCACCTCCATCCACGCAGGAAGGTTGGAGCGAACGGCAACTACAGATGGGTAGTGAGTCCTAAATAATGAGGCCATTTTTAAAAATCTTGACTTTTGCTCTTTTTTTCCAACCAGAACTTTGAGAAATCTTTCTTGGGCCTTGCCAAAGAATCTAAGCCTACAGTGACATCTCACCATGAAAAAAGGAAAGTATTTGGGACTGAAAGCTTTTGGCAAGGCAGGTCCCCTAATGTTATGCAAGATCCCACATCCGGTCATTCACAGGCAGTTCCGGAAAACACTCTGGAAAACTGGCCTCCTGTCCACCTTACGTGATCTTTTAAAAATATACTTAAAACAATTCAAACCATTTACTAATTTGTCTTTTGGGGTTTGTTTTATTTCCCATGAATGTCCCAACTATCAGCTAAGCCTTGATTGACCCTTTTCAACTCAAACCTGAAGGAGGCACTGTCATATAGAGAGGCTCAAAGACCCTGATGGAAACATTTCCAGGAAACCTCCCATGTGGCCTTACCTGTTTGACTCAAGGAAGCTGTGTAGGTGCTGTTTCACGTAAGTGCGCTATGGAGTAAATGCATGCAAGAGACTTACGAGACTAGAAAAGGGCGGACTGAAGGAAACCAGCTTGGGTGCATGTAACCCTTGGGGTTCCTCTTTATCACAAGCCCAGGAGAGCACCTCTCGGATTTATTAACCATGCTTTTTCTTTTCTGTGTGCTCATGCTCTGACATCTGGGGGGCCTTGCTGGCTTTGGAGGGACTGTCCCCTCAGGGTTAGTTAATTCCTAGAGATAGCAACCAGCTCTCCTATGAGAGCGCTTTCTACATGCAAACCACCCACCCCCCCAACACGCCCAGCCACCTCCCCTCCCAGGCTCTCACACTCCAGGCTGCTGCCCGCCTGTCCTGGCCGCCCCGCAGCGGGAACCAGGTGAACAGAGAGCCCACTGAATGTATTCCAACTAGCCAGTCCTAAACCTGCTTCCCGCTCCTCATCCTCTCCTCCCCATGGGAGCTCCCGTAAAGGCCCCTGCCCACCGCTCCCTCTGCCTCCTGATGGACCCTGGTGCTTCCACGCGTCGCCCGTGTGGCATGTCCCCTCTCGGAGGCTGTGAGTGTAAGAAGCTACGTGTTCAATGGCCATTATCTCCTCGCCCGTTGTCCTTGCCCTGCCTGAACAATAATAAAACCTGCATTTGAAAACACAGATGTTGGTATGAGGTGTGGTAACTCTGGGCATCTAGGGTCCTTGCCCAACCAGCAATGTCTGTCCCTGACAGGGAAAAAAGGGGCAGAACGGCCTCTAGCAGGACCTTAAACCCTGCAGGCTTTCTCAATCAGGTCCCTATCTGAACCACAGAACAAAAGCATAACTTGAGTGCTGATTTTCGGAAACTGTCCGGACGGTGGTGCCTGACTAGCCTCGCTCTGGATGCAGAGAAGTTAGCACATTACACACAGCCGACGTCTGGGGGCATTAGGGCTTAATTCTCTTGGAGAAGATTCGGAGTCTAAAGTCTAGGTATAAATGAAAACCTCTAGTTTGCCCCTCAGCACGAGCAAGCCTGCCCCCTGGAGGAAGCTCGTCTTGCCGGGAAATGATGCACGGGTATGGTGGGTGCTCCTGCCTGTGTGGCCTGGGCGAACATTACCTGTGCCCGGTGCTCCCCGACGGCAAACTGGATCACAGCGACACCCGGGCTGTGGCCGTCCTCGATCCTCTCCACAGTGCTGGAGTCGATCTTCAGGTCGTTGCTGATCTCTGCGCTCTGGATGAAGTCTTCCGTTTTCAAGTCCTCCACCTTCTTCAGCTCCCCGTTGGCCAACTGGATGATGGAGCCTTTCATGAAGTAGGGGGGCAGCGTCGGGGGCGCTGCCGCAGGGGACGCCACCGACTGCACCACGGGCAGGTGGATCTGGGCCTGCACCATGGCCGGGTAGGCGGCCTGGGTGGCCAGGGCCTCTGGGCTGAAGTTCTCGCTCTTGGGAAGGGCGGTGGTGACGAACGTGTGAGGCACTGCTGCAAACTGGGGTGACGACGTGGCTATCGCAGAGGCTGCTCCCGACCCCTCCACGTCAGCACTGCCAACCGGGATGAGCAGGGGCTGGGTGCCGGGGATGACGAGGTGTTGGGGCAGGCTGCCAGCGTAGGTGATCGCTTGCTGCTGGCTGCTCAGGTAGCCGATGACAGGCGGCTGAGTCCCTGCGTAGAAGGCTGTGGCTGGCAGTCCAACTGGGAGTGGCTCCGAAGCGCTATGTGTGGTCTGAATGACCGTGTGGGGTGACAGTGTGGCGACGGTGGCGGCCTTCACGCCTTCGGGGCCCAGAGCCTGTTGGGGCGAGAGCGCGTAGGAGCGGTGCCCGGGCTTCCCTAAATGCAGGCCGCTTTTGTCATTGAGGGTGGAGGGGGAGGCCTCGCGGTGCGCGACCTGCTGTGCTTCCAGGTCCGAAACGGGGGTGTTGCTGTTGGGCAGGACCATCACAGAGGCCCGGACCCCTGCGGAGTCTCGACTGCCATAGTCGGAGGGGCTGGGGTGGACGACCACGTGCCTGGACTCGTAGGGGTGAGGAGCTGACTTGCTGCTGGCCTTGACCAGGCCCAGGTCGGCTGAGGCGGGAGCCCCGTACCTCCGGCCCTTCTCCATCTCCCCGTTCAGGATCTCCTTGGCCTGCATGGCCTGCTGCAGCCTGCTGCTCTCGGCTTTCTTGGAGGCCTCCCGAGTGACAAAGTGGCTGCCAGAGTCGGTGTATTGCACTACGACCTGGGGGGAGGGCCCCAGGGTGATCGTGTGTGGGATCATCGTCTGGTGGGGGTGGAGGTGGACGGGGATGGCCGGAGGAGAGGCCGTGCGCCCGGCGTTCTGCGGAGAGCTGGCAATGTGGACGTACTGGTTCTGCTGGGTGGGTGGTGGGGACCCTGGCGCGATGAGCCCCGGAGTCCTGCCCAAGTGCTGCTGCTGCTGCTGCTGCTGCTGCTGCTCAGCCTTGTGTCCTGAGGCTTGGCTCAGACTGCCCATGCTGGCCAGCAGAGTGGAATAGGCCTCCAGCTGGGAGCGCTGGGATGGAGTGGTGGCCCCCCCGACAGAGGCCACTGCACTGGTGACGGGGCTGGCCGTTGGGGAGATCAGCTGCGGAGGGATAAACCCTGCGTAGGGCCCGCTGTATTGGGAGGACCCGATGAACTGGAAAGTGTGCGGCAGGTGAGCGTACTGCACGGGCGACACCGGAGTCCCTGACTGCGGGGGAGGGTACACCGTGGGCAGCGTGGTGGTCGCTGGCACAGACCTGGGCGCGCTGGGTGGGGAGTAGTCCAGCCCCGCGGACAGCGCTTTGTGTAAACCTATTCCCTGTTGTAAACCAAGCTCCACCGAAGTCCCCGCCGGGCCCTGCCTCCCGCCCCCGAGACCTCGGCCACCAGGGTTGCCCGGGAGCCATGCCACGCCCTCCGCCCGGTGGTTGTCGCTGGGCAGGGCGGTGGCCTTCTCCTCCGAAGGCCGGCTGGTGGCGGGGATCTCGCGCTTCTTGGGAGGCAGGCATTCGTTGCTCCGCTCTTGGTTGGATTTCATTTTTCGCCGTCCCCCCTCCACGGTGACTGTTTCACTGTCTGGCTGGCTCTGATTTTAGTCTGATAAATGGAAAGTCACATTTGATTTCTGTGGGGGATCCAGGCTCTTCATGAGGAATCATCTCCCCGTGGGTGCGATCCGCCAGCCGCAGCTCTGGAATCTGGGAAAAGGAAGAGGGTGGTGACAAGGGGAAGAGGTAAGGGAAGAGAAAGGAGAAGAGGGAACAGAAATCAAGATATCAGCACCGGAAGAGGACCTCCGTGGCCAGACTAGGACTAGGCTTTGGCTCCAACGTGAATTCTGAAAACCTGTTTCTAGCCCCAGCATCAGAGCAGGTGAGCTATCAGGAAGACTATTTCCACGTCGGGCAAGTCAAAACTTAAAGCAGATGCCTTTTTATGAGGCTAACAACTCCTTTAAGACACATTTCTCAGTGCATTCTCTCTTTTTTCTCTCTTTTTTTTACTAGAAGGTTGGACAGCGTGTTTCGTAAGTTTCCTTTTCAGAAATGCTGGCCCCAATCCTCACCTCTTCTATACCTTGCGGGCAAATCAAGCGAGGCCCACAGGGAGGGTGACAGCAGGGAAGGTCACTCCTGCCCTGCCCTCAGAGCCAGGCCCGAGGGGGAGCAGGTTAGGAGTGACAAGCCTGAGTTGACTGCACATTATCTCTGAACCCCGTCCAGCAGAGCCACTACTCAAGAGATTCCACCTGACCCTGGGTGCATCCTGACTCTCAGACAATTCTCTCTTCCCTATCACACACACGCATACAACATACACATGCCAGCTAGGCAGAGGCAGCCAGAAACAATGCCGTTCTCTACAAGTTTCCAAAGAATTCCCAGTACAGCCACTCATATGGTAACAGAAAACCCGAAGAAATCTGTTGATATGGTTAAGAAATGAATATAGTTACAGTAGTTTAAAAAATGTGGTAATAAGGGCCCTGGCCAGGTGGCTCAGTTGCTTGGAGCATTGTCCTGTGCACCAAAAGGTTGACGGTTCAAAACCCCGGTCAGGGCACATATCTGGGCTGTGGGTTTGTCCCCGGTTGGGGTGCGCAGGGGAGGCAACCCATTGATGTTTCTCTCTCACACAGGCGTTTCTCTGTTTCTCCCTTCCTCTCACTCTAAAACCAACAAACATATTCTTGGGTGAGTATTAAAAAAAATGTGCGGATGTACTGATGGTTTCCTTAATAACAGTGACACACTTGCTTCATGCTTCATCCCTGACCCCTTCCAAGTGGCCTTTGAATTTCCTCTTTGCCTCCGCTCCCTTTCTCCATGGAAAGAGCCAGACTACCGTTAACTCGTGGACACATATCTCAGTCTCTCAGGAACCACCGGATTCCGAGTCACCATGACTGTGGGGCAAACGGATGTCCACCTGGCAAGGGGCTGACCATCGGCGTGACCTAGAGAAACCAGGTTAACAAGTGGCAGACATGAGCGCCCCGTACAAGTAGGCAGGCACAATGTCACGTGAGGGATCCTCGGAAGCCGAGTAGGAAGCCCCCACAGCCAGCGGCCCTCCTACCCAGACCCTCTTTTCTGTGATCTGATTTTAAAACAAACACAATAAGGCAGCAGCCTACAGCATCGGATCCTTGTGTATCCTCTTTTGTTTGGTTGTTTTTCTTTAAGATTTTATTTACTTATTTTCAGGAAGAAGGCAAGGGAGGAGAAAGAGGGAGAGAATCATTCATGTAAGAGAGAAACATCAATTGGTTGCTCCTTGCACACCCCCAAATGGGGACCTATGCCTATGAACGGAGGGGTTGCTGGTTGGAACCCAGGCCTATGCCCTGACCTGGAATCAAACCAGAGACCCTCCCATTCACTGCCTAGCACTCAATCCACTGAACCATGTCAGCCAGGGCTGATCCTTGTATATCTTAAGCAACGGCCATATCCCTATTATAACAGCCACTTTTCTCCCTCTGTTGCCCCGCGGCTCCCCTCAACACCAGCTTATCCCACTTCTCTCTTATACAGATTACACTCACCACCCTAACCTGTATTTTACTTTTTGCCAGTCATTTAGTGGTCCTTGTTGGTTTTGCTCTAAAACTACTAACGAACATCATGATGAATGTACAAAGACACATGACAAAGTTCCCCAGGCACAATGACTTAATCAGGTATATATTGAAGGCGGAGGTTTAGAAATTTTGGTCTCAAAATCAAGGACATCTCAATTATAATAGGGTTCCTCACACGATGAGAGGCACTTTGAAGACTGAGACAGAAACAAAAAATAAAAGGACCTAAAATATTAATGCTTAAGAAATATCTGTGTCAAAAGAACAATGTCAATTATTTACCCTCCTGACCTACAGCTTTTAAAAGTCCTAGGTAACGGTATTCTACATAGTTTTCTCTTATAAAAAGTGCACCACATAATTTACACCCAGTGCTCGCAAGTCAATTAAAATGACAGTGTGATTTTCAAAAAGACGACAGAATAAAATTAAACTATAAAGCATCAAAAACAGTTGCCCTTTTTGACTGCCTAAAAAGTACTGATAATGATCTTTCATCCACAGACTTCAAGAGTCGTTGTTAAGAAAGAGAACTGTATGAACTCCCACGTTCCCATACCAACTAGCAAAAAGTTAACATAGGATATCTACTCAAAGCCAACCATTTCATGCTCCCCCTGCTGGCTCCACGGCAGCACTGATCCAATAAAACCCCATAGGATTTCATTAAGGGTGTTCGCGCAAGAGTGGTGTGTCAGAATCTGGAATGAGAATATTTGCATATAGTAGGCCCAGCCAGTACGGGAATAGGTTAATTAGCCCAAGGCAGCTTCAGGGAAGAAAAAGCAGCAGCAGAAAAGTCTTTTCAAAGCCAAACAAAATGTCAAACACATTCAGAAAGAGGTCTATTAGCAATGCAAATGTAAAACTGCCCATACAACTGAATGCACAATATCCAAACCTAGAAAACTCCTTTGAAGATACTTTTTAAAGAACCCGGTTTGAAAAAGGCTGACTTGGTTCTCAGTAGTATCCTGGCTTATAGACATTGTTTATTTAGAGACACTGGCTTCGTTGGCTCTAAAGATGCTCTGTATAGACTCTATGGCTGGTCTTCTTCTAATGGACCACAAAGACTTGACCTTGACAAACAAATTCGTATGTATTCTTTTTAAAAGTTATCCATTGATAAACATCTCTTCCAGATAATATTAATGATAAATCAAGAATACAAAGATTAACACAGAACTGGAGCAAAAAGAACCAGGCTGATAAAAATTTCAACCCATCCTTCTCCCACATTTAGAAGAACCATGTCTCCTATTATTAGTGCACCCTGCGAGGAGATGAGGCTCTAATTCTGGGACAGGTGCAAGCCCTTTTCTGTGCTCCATTCTCTCTCTGTATTGTCTGTATCTCCTGTTAGGAGGAAACACACTGTAAGGGTAGGGATTGTGTCTTGCTGTCTTTTCAGTACACCACCAGAGGGCGCCACAGTATGCCAGCATATCCCTGGTACACTGGATAAATTACTCATGGGATTGAAAAGAAGAGGTAAATGATGGAGGTGGCAAAGTATAGCAGGGAAAAGGAAGGGAGAGATAAAGGGACAAGGAGAAAGAGAAGAAAAGTGGAGTGGGATTTCTGCTTTTAGGGTCTCTTTCCAGCTGCAGACAAATGGCCTGTGTCCCCGATTGCCTTCTCAGAGCTGAAACACACCAGTCACCTCTGGATGTTCCTGCCACGAAAGAAAGATTTCTTCGAAACATGAAGCCACACAAGAGCACATGAATGTGAAGTTACAAAAGAACCACAAGTGCAGGTCATACTGTTTAAACATTACTATTAGAAAAGCAAAAGTGGAGGGGGAGTTAATAGGTGAATTGAGACGGATTTATTTAGGGCTTAGTACATACAGTTTGCCCGATAATCACTGTTCTGAATACATTCATCTTCAGCATCTTTATGTCTACATTTATATCCATCTCTCTCTATTCTACTATTTAGCTCAGCAGCTTAAGGCCTTGCATTCTAAGTTTTGTCGTCAGGCCAGCAACACCACATCCCCCAGCGGCTGTAGAAATGCTGAACACCTCAGGCCTCACCCAGGCCTCCGGAGGCAGAATCTGTATTTTAACAAGATCCCCAGATAACTCACAGGCACAGCAAGGTTTCAGAAACTCGAGTATAAGATTAAGTTTTCTACACATAAGCTCCTAAGCCTAGTAAACATTTCTAGCCTCTTTCCCACGGAAACCAGGCTAGGCGCTGCGTGGAAAGAGAATGGATGGGGACTTGGGGACAAGCAGCTATCACGGAGGCATGGGCTGGCTGCTTCCTTAGGTGTCCCTTGGACCAATGCAGTTCTAACAACAGATGCTCCTTTTCTCCTGGTTCTTTCTAACTTCAAGTATAGACAAAACCACTTTAACAAGGCTATTATCATACATTTTATATGGGACTCAATCCTCTCCAGAAAGGAAAACAAACTTTTTAACAAAGGAAGCCACACACATCTTTGCTCTTATACAAAAATGGATGCCCCATTACCCCGGGTTTAGATTGTTTCAGAAGTGATCAGAAAACAAGATGCTTCTGTGCTGAGAGATGTGGGAAGGCATCTGCACTGAGTCCAAGTCCTGTAAATAGCAACCAACTGTTCTGAATGGAAGATACTCCTAGCAGTGGATACACACAGTCCTAAAACCTGCATTCCAAGGTTGTGGTGATAGACTGGGCTGCTCTGTCCAGCACATCCAACCCTGCGAGTTTCTCAGTGTGAGTGAAACCTGTGACCATCTGGCATCCATGTCTGTGGACAACAGAGGCATGGTTACAGTTTTAAAGAGGAAGGAACACAGACTGATGAACTTGTGTCAGTCCTGGAAAAGCCATCTGATGGTTTAGCAGACAGAGCACCTGAACCTGGCGGGAAAGATCACGAGGACGTGATGAGGATTCTCTAAGTCCTGACATGCCAATCTCCTTTCCGTTTTATTATTTTACTAAACGGGAAGATCCGCATGGTGTGCTGGCAGAAGGCACCTCACTTATGTTAAATATTAAAAATTGGCCCAACGCTGACATCTTCGGGATTTCTGGGACAGAGAAAGGTGGGGTGGATGATAGCATAAGTAGATACCCTCACGGCTGACTGAACAGGCATGTCCCAAA